ACTATATTTGAGTAGAAAACAGTTACTTTAAATTTTAATAATATTTCACAATATTAGTGTTTTTACTGTATTTCTTAATCAAATAAATGCAATCTCGGTGAGCAGAAGAGACTTCTTTCAAAAACATAAAAATAAAATCTTACGCACCCCAAACTTTGAAACAGTACAGTATAGCATGTTCTTTACAAATATAATGTATAACTGTTTTTTTTTTACATAGAATGTACAATGAAATGGGAAAAAAATGTGAACCAATAACAATTTCCTCACGTTGACCATCTGCATACAGTAAATACATTCATAAAGTTTCAAAAATGTATTATTCAGATGCAGTCTTTAAAGATCATGTGACACTGAAGACTGAAGTAATGATACTGAAAATTCATCTTTGATCAAAGGAATAAATTACTTTTTAAACTATATTTGAGTAGAAAACAGTTACTTTAAATTGTAATAATATTTCACAATATTAGTGTTTTTACTGTATTTCTTAATCAAATAAATGCAATCTTGGTGAGCAGAAGAGAGTTCTTTCAAAAACATAAAAATAAAATCTTACGCACCCCAAACTTTGAAACAGTACAGTATAGCATGTTCTTTACAAATATAATGTATAACTGTACAGCAAAAGTTTTTTTTTTTTTTTTACACAATGTACAATGAAATGGGAAAAAAAAGGTGAACCAATAACAATTTCCTCACGTTGACCATCTGCACGGCAGATTTTGTTTCAGAGAAGGTTCACTTTTGCCACAACCTGCCTGTAGTTTTTGCAGGATGTTCCAGCAGGGGAATGATAGCAATAACAACTTGACAACTTTTTGTTCGATATATTTGCTCAAAAACAGCACAAAATAAATGAGTACAAATTGAACAATTCTGCTGCTAAAGGTTCTTTATTGGAATCAATGGTTCCATGAAGAACCTTTAAAATTCCATGGAATCTTTCCTTTGGACAAAAGGACCAATTGCATTAGGACAGGACCAAACTTGGCACAAAATAAATGAGTATTGGACATTTCTGCTTTTTGCATGTTTCGTTCAGCATACCCACCTCAAAGTGAGCGCATTTTCTGTCCTGAATGACCCTGAAAAGGCCTTTGGTACATGATGACTCATGCATGCTTCATAAACTGTGATGCATGTTGCACCTTTATTTTGGTGCATTTGCCACCGTACAAAACAGCTAATGCTGAAAGCATGAATGGAGGCATGTGCATTTAAATAATCAATGAGAGGTCATTATAAACATGCATGATTTGATAAAAACTTCAGTTTCGAGATCTGTGTCTGTCCCACTATTTCTGTTCCATCTCTTTTTTTCAACGGCCTGACCAATTGCATTGGGGCAGGACCAAACTTGGCACAAATTAAATGACCATTGTACATTTCTGCTTCTTGCATGTTTCGTTCAGCATGCTCACCTCAAAGTAAGCATGCTTTCTGTCCTAAATGATCCTGACTAACTCTTCAGTGCATCATGACTCATGCTGTAAACAGCATGCATCAAGCTCAACCTCTGCTTTGTGATGCACGTTGCAGTTTGCAATTGCCACAAAACAGCAAGAATAGAAGCACGTTGCGGCAATGTCATTCACTATTTTCAAGCCGTATTCACCTCGCCTGTAGGCTGAAAGACTGGCGTCAAAAACTATCCACATGTAAATGATACTCAAGTTTCACTTCAACAGAAAACAAAAGAGCTGTTTCAACAAAAGCTATGTTCGTATTGTCTGATTATCAAGAATCAAATGACAAAAACAACAATTCTTGCTCCTAAGAGGCCTCTCCGTTTTCCCCTACAATGAAATTGAATCAGGAACATGAAGCCTATTTGCTTCAAACAAAAAGAATTGACCTTGGAACTCTCGTGAAAGCTTCTCTAAATGTCTGAGGTGCATTTAAACAAAGTTTCTTTGCAAATGGAACGTTCAACATTCCACACATTCTGACTTTCCTTCACGAGCCCCTCTGGCAAAGCAGATATGGTTTCCTTCCTGGAAGTCCTTTTTCACGCACCCCTTTTTGGAGAACAAGAGCAATAAAAGTGGCATGCTTAATCATGAGCGTGCTTGGCCAGACTGCAAGTCTGACATTTCCCAGCAGCTTAATCTCTACAGTGGTTTAGCTCAGATGAGGGAAGTTAAGTAAGACTAGACAGTTGCCTCAGCTGAAGTGGTTAAGCTTTATCAGATGCAACAGAAAAACATACAGGAAGACAAATGCAAAACTTGAGAAGGACAAACAGAGTATGTATTCTAAAAACAGAGCTGGCTTACCTTTGGAAAGCACTCTGGTGTGTGGTTTGGAAACCGATTCCTCTAGAAGCTTGGCTGATGAGGAGACGAGAGGAGGTGACTTCCTCACAGCCAGATGAACATTAACAGGCAGACGTTTGCAGCTCCTCCTCCTATCTGTCCATCCTCTCCTGCAAACCCCACCTCTCCCATCACGTACAATGCAAGAAACAGATGCACCTTTGTGCTTAAAAATAGTCTGTTTGCACTCTGTTGTAAGTCATTTGATTCAGACAACGAACTGGGAAATTGATTTAAATGATTGAAGTATTGTGGAAAATGGTCATCATACACACCTTTTGTTTTATTCTATAAGGAAACCGCATTAATCAACAGAACTAGTCGAATATTGAATCTGTGTTTGCTTACGTAAGCAGAAGAATGTTTATTTAAAGTCTTTTATCTGAATCACTCTGGGGGATTTGATGAGGATTTGTAATGCATAAACCAGCCCAGATGACTAACTCAGGTTGGAGGTTAATGTGAGCTGCTGTCACTGTTGGGAGTTCACAGGGTGGAGTTTGAGCCAGTAGTTTAGAGTTACCGAGAAAATGTTCAGTGGTCTGATAGTGTGTGCAAATATAGCAGCACGTTTACAGCTCGCACCATCATAGATTAGATGGAGCGATGATTTGATGAGAATTTACACTCACACTCATAAGTGAGCATGTTGTGGTTTTTCCACTGCAAGTCAAACGAAACATATTTAGAATGTTTGGAACATATGTTGCTTATTCTAGAATTGTTTGTTTATTTGAATAATAAAAAATGAATTTTAGTAATCTTTGTTTTCAATATTTGCATGTACTACTGTGTACTGTGTTGTTGATTAATTATAAAAACCAAACAGACTTTAAAATTATGTTGACATGTCTTTTCTAATTAAATCTTGTTATATTATATATATTTAATCCACATTCCTTTGCATATTTATATCTGTGTATAGACTATTTTGTACATGCATATTTATTTTGTTTTATCTAGTTTGTCTGTGTATATATAATTTTATTTCATCATCTGTCTTATTTTTATATATTAATATTACGTTATTCGTTAAGTCTGTCTGTCTGTCTGTCTGTCTGTCTATCTATCTATCTATCTATCTGTCTGTCTGTCTGTCTGTCTCTGTCTCTGTCTCTGTCTCTGTCTCTGT